ACCTGGTGTAAATTGAACTCCTTTTCAGTGTTAAATATTATGTGTTTGTGGTCAAATTAAATCATACTACACAGAAAAAAGGAAAAAAAGAGGAAACAGGAAGTTTCTTGACGCATTACTAGTATATTACCAGTGGTATTATTCCAGAAAATGGAACCTTCAACTCGCTAGAGATAATGTTTTTAGTTCGTTCCACTAACTTAAAATACTTCAAGTATTGACAGCTGTTTCCACCTATTTAAGGTCTAGTATCGAACAACTTGTAATGTCACACCAAAGGAAAGGACTACCTGGGCTTATATATTCTTCATGTAAGTAAACAGAGGCGAGATTTAAGAACATCAAGTGATCCACAAAAAAATAAATACTTATGGGTCAACTAAACTAATATAGTTAAATGAACTATTCCTTTTTTTCTGTGTAGGTGCACTTCTCAAATATTTTTAGATAAACACCGTTTTGGTGTTCATTTTCAACCATAATTCATGATGTTATATTAACACCACTTGGTGTTGGATTTTAACACCATTTTAGGATTACTCTTTACACCACAGATATTTTAAACAGTGTATTACCTAGACATTTTTTATTTTTAAATTTGACATCTTCATTGCCATCAATTCACGGATCAAGCTCTGACATTGTAGGTATGTATTTTGTATACGTAAGTCAAAAAACAGGATTTAAATTTATGACGAATGTTACTTCTTTTAAAAAATTAACTGTATACAGTATTTTTATTTTTAGTGTATATTGTGGGCTTAAAGATCGAAAACGCTATTGAATGAAAAATACGTCCACAACGCATTGTGGCATCCATTAAGAAAAGCCATAACGCGTTCTGATCGTTAGCTCATGCACTGGCGTATTACAGCAGCATTAGGTTTTGTCGAAGTGGACGAAACGCATCAATTTACTTTTAAACCTGATAAACTTACTTAAAATGTTCAAATTTACTTGGTCACTATACTGTTTTAGTGAAAATACAGTATTTCTTTGTTATGTAGTGTGAGAAGCCTAGAGAAAATGAAAAAGGGGAGTTTTTAGGTACAAAGCAACAAAAACACACCAACTTTAGTTTTTGGGAAGACATCTTTTACTCACAAATCGCTTTACCTTTTCGCGCAGTGGTCACAACATTAAAAATAGGCACTATAGGGCAAAATAGTCAAATTATATTTATTTGTTTTTAAGATATTTAAAATTATTTTTTTAACAGCGCACTATATCTTATTTAAATAAAAAAGTGGAAACAGATAAGTAATATGACAATAAATCATGTAGAAAAACTGTCAAATAAAAACAAAGCCTTTATAAGTCTTTTATTTACACCAAATTAGTTCAGTTTTATTTAATAATGGTTTACAGTATTGCGGAAAAAGTTGAAATATTCACCGTTTTTTATAAATAGTGCGGAAATCGTGCAGTAGAGTTATTTAATGGCGAAGTTCCGAGAAACAAGATCAGTAGCGAACATAAAACGGACCTGAACGTGAAAGCTGCTGAGAGGAGATTTGGGACAAGTCGTTAGTGATCCTTAAGGAAATTAGCTACGATTACCAAAATTCCTAAAATTACCATACAACGTATTCTTTGATTTCATATAGAATCATATAGTCCATGAATTAAATGAGGCTAATTTTGACCGGCGACTAAAGTTTTGCGAAACTATGACTGAACAAATAGCTAGCAATGAAAATAAGCTTTTTAAGACGTTCGTTTTTTCTTAACTCAACTCTTAATCACCCTAATTGAAGTATGAAAGTACCAAAGGGGGTATGTGCAATTTTTTGTTAAAAAACATAGTATTTACCATTACTTTGTTTTTAACAAAAAAACTCAGAATTTCAAAAAATGGTACATACCCCCTTTGGTACTACCAAACATTAATTGTCGTTACTGGTCAGATGCAAATCCAAGGGTTTTACACACTTAACTCTTGTTAACTTATTGTCTGGGCAGGTATGTTCGAAGATCGTCTGGTTAGGTCTATTTTTTATGGTAAGCTGACAGGAGAAACGTATTCGGAATTTGTAGATTATCAGTCAAGAAGCAGTCCTTGGAAGACCATTTAATGTTCTAACAAGATGGAGCACCTCCTCACTGCGTTTGAAGAGTTTTTTCCTGACAACTAATTGGACGAAGAGGATCTCTGGATTGGCCACCCAGATTTTCAGACTTTAGTCCTCCAGACTTTTTTATGTGGGGTCATTAGTAAAATTTAAGCACTGCTTTTGTTCATGATACTCAGTATCATAAAATGTGGTAACACTAGCCTATCAGGCCTATTAAAATTTTAGGAGCTGTGACCACTTCGCGAAGGGGTGAAGCGATTTGAAAGTGAAATCTACATCAAAAGATGTCTCCCTCAAAATTAAAGTTGACAGGTTTTTGCGTTTTTACTAGGTACCCAAAAACTCATCGTTTTTGTTTTTGTTGAGTTAGAACGTTAAGTTTTGTGTACTTGTTCTGAAAATAATAAATTAAAATTAAAACAATCCTTTGTAATCATTTTTTTTTACTTATAAATGGCAGTTTTTTGTTTTAATAATAAATTATGTTTAATTTAGTTCAGTCATAATTAAGCAGTGTTGTTAAAATAATACATTCGTGTATTGTTTTTGGACAAAAAGGTAAATTTTGTATAAATAAATACAATATAAAGAACTTTTATTTAATTTATAGCTTAATTTTATTTTATTTAACATCTTAATTTTAATATTAAATATACACTGTACACCTATAAGATAATTTCTAACTTTTAGCAACAAATGTATTTATAATAATAAAAAAATATTCGTTTATTGTTCAAAATTTATAAAATCCAACTACAGGAGAAATTACATACAAAAAATAAATTGTTAAATTAAATATTAATAACATTGGGGTAAGTCATCTATCACTTAAGTCAGTAGAATTAAGGTTAGGTATCTTTCAATTTCAGTATAATTAATGTTAGGTATCTGTCTGGCAGTAAAATTATGGTTAGACCCTTTTAAATGTATTATTTGTAATTGTTGTACTCATATTATTGTACACTACTACCACATTAACGCCATATAGGATTAAGTAGGTTGGTCAATATAGGTTGGGAGCCTGTTGGAGTGAGTTTTAAAAGCGCGTTATTTTTTGTATCCATAATTAGAAAGGTCATCTACATGTTTTCTGGTATATTTTAGAATAAAATTTAAAGGAAAGACAGACTATCCTGGGAGATTTTTGGCTGAAATTAATTGGAAATCTGAACGTCTTTCTTGCAATTTGTAAGTTATTTCCAATAGGTCTAATTTTTTGCTTATTTTTACTACGTTTGTCTGAAATATTTTAGCACCAATAAACGACTAAGATAACGCTTACCCAAAGCTGTTTTTATGTTGTTCTAGAAATACCATGGTTTTTAATTCAGGGTTGACCGAAGAAACACTTCTACAAAATAGGGTGTACTCTCTTAAAATAAATAGTCAAAAATCTACTATTTGAATTTGACTGTTTCTGAGAGTAAAAAGTAACTAATTTCTTAAATCGTTTTTAATTCTTGCGGCTATCTGCAAATTATTGTTAGCGTTAAATCCATAGTCCAATGGCCCATAAAAACAAAGATAAAAAAGTTTAGGTCAAAACAGCCACAGAACAAATACATTCAACTTATTAACAATATTTATACACAAATATAACTAATTATTATAAAAGTAGCATAGGAGCATAGACAGAAATAACTATTTTTTTTTAAAAAAGTAAAAGTGGCGCAGCGATTAGACATCAGCTTGACAAGTAAGGGATCCAAGTTCAAACCCCAGCTGGGTCAAAACTTTTTTAAATTAAAATCTACTTTAATTCGGTAGAATTTGACTAATTATTAGTGACTGATTTTTCGCTATGAAAATTAGTCAAATATTACTTATAATTAGTCATTTTAACTTGATTTAATAATTTAATATATTAACTAATATTTTTGTTTTGTGACACGGAATTTTAAACTATAATTAATTTATGGAACTAACCTTACTTCCGGTTATCACTATTCTTGTTATTTTGATAGCGAAAGCAAAAATGGTCCCTATTGTATCTGTATTTATGGGACAAACAAATTTTGATGTCCAAAATTCCGTGCTGTACTATTATATTTTAGTTTTACTTTGAGGAACAGTAAACCTCTCGCAAATAAACAATTTTACCAATTTAATATTAATTTTTCCAAAAACAAAATGGCAGACTTAATATGGCAGACATTTAAAAAAATGCTAGCGGTATTGCAAATATTGGACGGAATGCTTATAAAAAATTAATATAATTATTTAACCCACTCCATGTTGTGTAAAGAATATTTTTAAAAAATGTCTCTTTTTAAAAAATGAATTGTTTTTTTAACCTGTATAATTAAATATTTTAATAAAGCTTTTTTAATTTCATTTATTTATGTGGTAGTGAGTTTGTATAAAGCATTATCAAAAAAAGGTTTGTATGCAGTGAACATATTAATATTAAGTATGTCCCCAGCGGATATAAAAATATTGGTACTGACAGACCCCACCCGTAGCTTACCCGTTGGGCGGATGGTAAAAAAATTTAGGAAATTTAATGCACCAATCTAAGGTTGTAATTAAAGTTTAAAACTGTAATTTATTGGGACTGGAAAAATTTGGGATTTGATTTAGTAAAACAAAAGTTACTATACAATTATATACATTAACTTAATATTTAATTAATTTTTTTTAAAGTAACAGAATAATATTTAATGTACTGTTAAAATATCTAAAATTATTGAAAAAAAATTACAATTTGTAAGTACAAGTAATTTTTTCAAAAAAATTAATATTACTATAGAACAAATCTTTAGACACATCCTTTGAAACTGAAAAACGTTTTGGACTTTTCGGCAACTTTTTTACTTTTAGTCCTTAAATGCTAATATTAAAGTATACTTAATTGACTACCAACCTAATTTAATGTGCCAACGTTTAAATAAAAAAAATCTTTATTTAACATCTAAAAAAAATCCTTATTTAACAAATTATACATGACACACCTTGTGATTAATAAAGGGTGCGTTTTGTTTACTTTAATGTAATTTCTTGTTATTTTTGTATTATCCAAAATCAGTATTATATATAATACTATACTACTATGAATAAAGGGGGCCTGTATGTTCATTCGATGTTCGGATCCATTTAATTTTAAACCTAAACGACTCATCTTCCGGGTCAGTTTCGACAACCTAACAAAACAAAAAATAATTTATGCTACATTACGAAGAATACAACTATTTTTCTTAAAAGTAAAAAGATAAAATGTTTTCTTTAAAACGCTGTTTGTGACAATGTAAATATAACTTAAAATTTTGATGAAAACATAAAACTGCAAGACTTGTAAAGTACATTTAGGTACGTATTAAAGTGGCAAACATAAGAAACATAAATGAGCTTTAGTCTGGCAGGAATATTTCTATTGGTGTTCTTATAAAGTTCATAAAAATACTTTAATTTTTAATGGAGTGATAAAATAAAACTGTAATTGATATGAAACTTTTTGTCAATTTAGTTCTTGCCTTAAGTAAGCTTTAAAAGGTAAAATACTACTACAAAAAACATATAAAAACATGTACTTTATTTTAGATTTAACATTTTAATTACCATTGACTTTTAATTTAACATTGCCATTGCATTTGGAATCTTATTTTTTGTAATGGCCAGAAAAAGATCACTAATTGTGTCGAATACACTAAATGGGGTGGCCCAACGAAAACGAAATAGAGGAGTTTTCGGGCAGTAAGCAGTGAATATTTAAAAAACGTAATGCAAGTGCACTTGCAAATCGCTTCACCCCATCACGCAGTAGTCACAACGCCTTAAATTTTAAAAGTAATAATAAGGAAAGTGTCCTGAAAGGTCCTGTTCCACTAAGTATCATGAAAAAAATAGTCAAATGCAAGAGCGTACTTCGTTTCTTATTTAAATAAAAAGTACAAATAAGAAATTTAAGAAAAAAGTGAAGAATCACAAAAAGCCTTCATCAGTCTTTTAAGTACACAAAGTTAGTTCAGTTTCATTTAACAATGGTTTACAGTATTGCGGAAAGAATTGAGATGATCATCTTTTTTTAATAGTTTTAAAAGTGCAGAAATTGTGCAGCAGATTTTTTCAATGAAAACCATGTAAATAAAAAATTTATTTTGTAGTTGGTGGCAAAGTTCCGAGAAACAAGATCAGTAGCGAAGAAGTCGGTAATAATAAAGATAATAGTTGTTGGTAATTCAACTTTAACCACTAGGAAATAAGCAACGGTTACCAATATTTCTATAACGACCATCCAACGAATCCTTTAATCTTATAAATTTTGTTATTACAAGATTTCCATGAACAAAAAGCTAATGATACAAATTTGCTTTCCAACATTTGTTTTTCAGACGAGTTTACGTTTTTTATTAACTCCAATGTCAATGGCCATAATAATTATTATTGTCATTACTCGTCAGTTGCAAATCCAAGTGCAATTTTTACGTAGAAATCTAAACTCAAACTCCTTAAAAACTTAATGCCTAAGCAGGTATGTTCAAAAATCGTCTGATTGGATCCAGTTTTCTTAATGATAACCTGGCGAGATAAACGCATTTAAAATTACTAAAAGATATAGTTCATTCATTACTAGTCGATATTGTTAAAAACCATGACTGCTACTTGGGTGACCATTACATTGTAATGTTTTAATAAGATGGAGCACCTCCAGACTATGCACTGCGTGTTTCTGGATTGGCAGGCAAGATCTCCAGATTTGATTACCCTAGACTTTTTTTGTTGCGTTATTTAAAAATTAATATTTTATTAAGACCCGGGGTTTCTACAAGAGTTGCGACAACGTATCGTAAATAAATACGGTCAAAGAACTCCCCAATTACTAGAAGGCATTTTGTTTGGAAGTGGGTGGCAGATATTTTAAGGATTTAATAGTATAATAAATATTGTTCAACTGAGGAGCGATCAAACAAAACCAGACAAATTCATTTTGGCGATTTGTAGAAAGAAATCAAAAATAAAATAATTCTTTTGCTTTTGACTTATTTCTGCAAATCACTTAAATGGATTTGTCTGGTTTTGTCTGATCGCTCCTCAACTATTCTCATTGCTTTTTTGACCAAAATTCCTTTTCTGTACTTTTTTATTTAACACATACCCGGACACGACTGCATATGCAGATACATGCGTAGGGACACGACTGCAACTGCAGACAAATTTTAAACCACAGAAAAATGCAGTCGCTATTTACTATTAAATACGTATGAATAGAAGCATAGTGTCCCTGTACATGGTAAGCAGAAAAGTGTTCCTCTAAATGACATTTTAAGTTTAAATACATAGTTCCAGCGCAGGTTGTTCTCTCACAATAAGCGTCTTGTCTGAAAAAGCAGACAGTAGCTTTATAACGGCCAATGTAAAAAAAAATTCTTTGCCTGAAAACTACAAGAAAAAGTTATTTTTTAACATGTCCTTATTGCGCACAAAATAAAAAGAAGAGACAAACGTCCTGACGCTGCTCAGGGTGTGAGAATAAACCGCCACTATGTGTGAGTGATTGTTTCACAGAGTTTCATTCCTAATGTTAACTTTTTTATTTTACAAAAAAATATATTCTTGTTTTAAAGAAATGTAAAAGTTTATTTTTGTATTTTTTATTAATTATTTAAATAAAGTTTGTTTTTTACTTTTTCCTGCTTATTATCGAAAGCGGAATTTAGTTTAATAACGTCTGCAACAGATGCATGTCCCTTAATATACAATTTTGGGATATTCAAGGACGTGTTTGTTATAGCAGACGTCCGCAATGATAGACAAAAGTCTCTAATTTTGTTTAAAAAACGAAGTGTGCCGTCGGAACCTCAATTTTTTATATATCTCAAAAATTAATAAATGGAATTTAACCATTTGTGAATATAATATGATTTTTTTTTATGATATTCAGCTAAGAAAGACCTTTTAATTGAGGTATTACTTGCCTATTATTCCCATTAACATTGTGTATTTGACTATTTGTGAATAGAATATGACTATTTCTTTTATGATACTCAGCTAAGCAAGACCTCTTAAATGAGGTATTATGCCTATTAAAATTGTGGGGGTTGAGACCACTGGGTGAAGCGATTTGCAAGTGAAATCTAACTGTGGTTAGTTGGCTTGTATACGCAGTAGACTTCACAAAATATCATAGTGCCAATTTTGGTCGTCAGTGCTCCCTGGAAATATATTAGGTATGTATGTATGTAATAATAAATATCATACCAGTTACTGTAAAGCTTAATTTATTTACACACATAATCGCCATCCATTCTGTGTAAATAGTTTCCAATTAATTTTTTAATTCTCAAATAAAGGGCATCGATAATTTTTTTTCTGTATGTAGGTACCTAGTATTTACAGCGCTTTTTAATTAATAAAGTGTAATTTTAGTGTGGGGATCCATATCAGAATTTTGGTAAGCTTCATCAATGATTTTCTTTGATTTTTTTTTGTAAAAAAAATCTGAAGGGCAAGGTGGGTTATGTCCAGATTAACAATAATAATGCTATGAATGATTTTCTGTGAAACGCTAGAGTCAAGGGCATGTTTTCATCTGGTGAAGGACGACCGCAACGAGGTAAATTTTCACACCCTTCCCGGTCTTCTTAAAATCCATATGCCTGTGTCTACAAACAACATTAACCGAGAGCCTTCCACAATATTTTCGTTTCCAATTTATTTTATCTAAACATTTGTAAATTCTTCTGTGTAAGCTTTACAACTATTTAAAAGTTGAATTTTTTTCATTTTAATTAAATAATTTAATTTGTTAATGTTTCTTTATATGCTGTGTTGGTAGCTCCTTATAAATAAGAGGGTGAAAAAAAAATATAATTTTAATCAATTTTCAAAAATGATATGGAATATATATGGAAGCCACAGATCCCAAATGCTCTTGAAAATTATGAAAATTGGGGTATGCCGTATATTGTGGTTATATACACTGGGTCCACTAGATTTTCCATCCAAATTCTGCAGTAGGTGAAGCAAAGTAAAATCGTGAGCATGGAGCAAATATATATATAAACCATTGCAACGGCCTTTCTACATCTGTTTTAACTACTTGTAGAATTCCATTTTTAGAACCAGTGTTAACTACTGTAATTTCGCATCTAACAGACCATAATTTAGACAAATCTACATTATAAAACATCAAAAGTTGAGCTTGGTTCAGATACTTACACAATAGTTCTTTACGGTTTTTCTATTAAACTTTATTCCTTATTTCCTTAAACGATAGTTTTATATTTTTAGCCATAAAAAACGATTTTATAAACCATAGTTTCTGTCTTGTTAATTTTCAGATTTGTGCAACGTTTCATTCTTTTTTTTCGGAACAATCATATTTTGCTTTGGTCTGCTATTTTAAAGTCTTTATTTAATATAATTCTTAGGTGTTTCAGGGCTGCACAACCAAAATTGCTGCTGATTTATCCCTGACTCGAGTTTACAAGCTTCCTCTAGACTAGGTAATTTTGTTTTCATTCGCGGAGTGACAGTAGACTTTACAAAAGTAATATTAGATGAAACATTCAATAGTATACTAAAGAAAAAGTCGTTTTTTTGGTGGAATATTCTATATATCGTTTTGTTCAAACTTCCTTTAAAGTTTTAAGCTTGCTTCTTTGTCGACTTTGCCTACTGCCAACTTTTGTGCAGTTCTTTGTTCAGTCAAGATTTTTTTTTCGCCTGCACGTACTTTTATTTTACAAATGCACAAGTGGCTATATCAAAAGTTTCTTTTCGACAGCTCCCTGAAATCAGTTTTCTGGAGCAATTATTCTTGCCATCGTTTGGTTAAAGTTTTTAAATTGTCCTGTGCTTATTATAATATTCCTTTAATTTGTATGGTTCGTTGGTCTAAAATACAGAGAGAAATTCTTATACCATAACCGATCTCCTCCAAAATTGTAAAAAATCTTTAATGGTATTTACCTTTTTGGTTTCCTGTTTAAAAACTTATAATAATAATAATAATAATAATATAAGTCTTTATTGAAACATTTTACATTTTCAAACAGCGAAGTTCAGCGTGTTTAAAAGAAAACATCTGTTCTTCCACTTATGCTGCTTGAAAAAGCACCCTGTATAATTTGTTTTTACCTGCGTCAATTTGGAGAAACTAGTTGACGAGGATGGAGCGGCTGTATAAGAATCCGAGCCGCCGCTAAACACGTTCCTCGGCTTCTAATTCGACTAACTCTGGAATTAAACAAAACTAATAAACCCCACATATAAATTCTTTGTGTTTATCAACTATTTCAGGGGATAATTGGTTCGACCAAATATTTTGCCTTTATGTTTTTGAATTCCTGATACGTTTGAATGTATTCCGAGAACGTGGCGACCCGTCGCGACGCGTCGCTCGGACCGTTCGATGGAATTCTAAAAACTTTTAAGTTATAAAAGAATATTACTGTTTAAATTATTTTTAAGGCCACGTCGTTTGACGGTGTGGATCACCTGATGTTCTTACATCTCGCCTCTGTTGGCCTACCAACCGAGCATATAAGCTCAGGGAGTCCTTTGTTTTGAGTGTGTTCCATTACACCAAGTTGCCCGACACTGATGAGACCCAATATAGGTCGAAACAGCTGTCTGTCGGTATTTGAAGTTGGTGGAACGCATTCAAAACAAAAAAAACTTTGGCGAGGTGTAAGTTCAATTTTTTCTTATGAATATTACCAGTAATGGATCAAGAAAGTTTCTTAAAGAAACTGAGAAAATTTAATGTTTATTTTTTACTAATATAAATTGAAAAAACAAGTATATAAAGAGTAGGGTGGCCCCGAAAAAGGACCACTATAAAATTATGTTAGTTAATTATGTTTTGGGAGGTCTCTTCCAAAATCAGCTCGAACCAAATAATTGAGGAGCGTCCGTGCAAAACCGGCTATATCCATTTTAATAAAATGTTGGAAAAAGGAAAAAAACTCCCCGTTTTCTGGCCTTTACAGATAAAAAAATGCATCTTGAGTTTTGTGCCTATAAAACTTAATTAAGGTGCATCTTTTTTATCTGTAAAGGCCAGTCAACGGGGAGTTTTTGCCATTTTAATAAAAAACAGTAATTTTTAATTATGTTATTTAAATTATTTCTTAAAAATAATATTATTCAAGCGAAACCTTGCTCTCTTAAAATGAAATAGTCAAAATTCTACTATTTGACCAGCCAGTGGTGCAGCATTACTTGTTTTTTATATTTAATAATTTTTATTATAAGTGTCTTTCGGTTCGCTTTTTTAATGGTAAATGTAAATTGTTACACAAAAAATATTTTCAACTTTAAAATATTAATAACAATATTTATAGACAAATAAAATTAATTTTATAAAAGTGACTTTAGCTCTTCGGTCAGACATCCGCTTGACAAGCAAAAGACCCGAGTTCGAATTCCGGCTGGGTCACATAACTTTTTTAATTTAAATCTACTAATTTGACTAATTACACAGTGCAACAGTGCAAAAGGGAATGGGATGAAACCAAAAGCAAATGAAAGGTAATAGCTTCTACAAAAAAACCCTATTAGGTTTTTTTTAGATCACGTCTCAGTTTTTTATTATACGCATTTAAAGTTGGTAGATTTTTAGACACCCTATGATAGGAGAAAAATAAGTAAAACAATTTTAATTTTTTTAAATTATTCTGGCAATATAGTCGAGGAATCCATTCCAATTGGAGCATTTTTACTAGAAAATTGGGCATTTTTATAAAAAAAATATTCTCTTTAATGCCTTAATCAAAACACAATACTTGTATACAAAAACTACATTTTTTTGTGGTAATATATTGTAATATATCGATGGTATTTTTGCAAAAAGGCGAATATGCCATTTTTCTGTTTTGATAAAAACAAAAAAAAAGTATTTCGGCGAATTCGCCCTTTTGAAAAAATATTACTACAAAAAATTGCAGTTTTTGTAGCAAAAACGAGGTTGTTTAAAGGTAAAATTGATTTGTTTACTTAAAAACACATAATATTATGTACTATATAGTAAATCAGTGACAGCAACATAAAACGTTTTTCTTAATTAAATTATTTTTTTTTATTTAAAGGACAATATAATATAAAACAAAACTTAGTTCCAAAATGTAAAAATGTAAAAAATTGTACCTACAATATTACGGTATACATATAATTGAATATGTTGAAAAGTTTGCAGAACTTGTAATAACAATTTAATTAAATGATCACAAAAGAAAAACAAGTCAATAAAATTTGGTGTTCCAATGTTGTGGTATAATTCAGGTCAGGGCCGAGCCTAGGGTATCTGCCGCCCGGGTGCAAGAATTAAATTTGTCGCCCCCATTAATGTAAAAAATTAGGTTGTCGGTAGGGAAGGAGTTCATAATTTATCATTCTCAATAAACATATAACAAATTTTATAGTAAAATAACAAAGTATTTATTAACAAATACATAAAAGAATAAAATAAAAATACATTCAGGAAAAAAAACAAAAATAATTAAACTAAACTAAAAAACTAAAATCTACTTTTCTCGCTTTTTTAATAGCAAATCAAGTCGCCTACATCCAAGTTGTTAGAAACGGAGCTTACACTTGATTATAGTTTATTTCTTTTTAGTTTTTAACTTAAACGCATTAAAAGACAAAAGAAACTACTATGTTTGCATCCTATTTGCCTCACGTTAATAGAAAAACTAAAAATTGCTGAAATACCCAGCCGTCAAATCGGAAGAAATTATGCTTTAACTTAAAAGCCGTATTACAGCCGGCAATTCTTTCGGCAATTGCAATGAAAATTGCCATAGGCATGCGCGGTTGAGACATTTCGACAAATCTCTGGCAATTGCCGAAAATCGGTCCCGATGGATTTTTATTGCCGTTTCACGGCAATTCTGGGGTGAAACCTGGTAACTTTTATGTTACCAACCCTACTACAAATTCCCTAAAGAGACGCTGTTTGACTTAAACAGTTTAAGGTTATTTGTTTTATGATTGACATTTTGTTCAAAGTTCTAGTATCCATTTTACTCATTAATTTTTAAATATCTCTACTAAATAACAAATAAACAAATTGTTTACAAAATCGTATTTTTTTCTTCGGTTGGTAGCACGGTAATAAACAGCAAGTTGTCTTGCCATTGCTGACAACATGCAATACGGCCTTGAAAACTTGATGGCAAGAATAATTTCTGCAAGAAAAATTGCTGCAAGAGGAATTGCCGGCTGTAATACGGCCTTAACAGTTCAGCTTGTAAACAATATCACGTGGTACACAGCGCGCGATTTGATTGGTTTCCCGCAAGCCCGCTTCCGTAAAACATAAAACTTGACGAACTCGAAGCGGACGGACGGAAAGCGAAGCGGGCGGGCGGCAATCTATAAACCGGGCTTTAAGAAAATTGTCATCATCATTTTTTATGGCTATCGCGCGTTCGGTTATGTCTTTTTTATCATTGCCACCTGACAGCACAATTTTGGAAATGTTTTTATGTGTAGAATAAAGACGATGATTCCTTGAAACGCCGACATCAATAAAACGCAAGTGATTTTTAGAAAGTTTTTTGCATATTGCAAGGTGGCTTTTTTATTCTTGATAATATGATACAATTTTTTTGATGATATTTTGCCGCCCTGTGTTAGTGCCGCCCGGGTGCCATGCACCCCTTGCACCCCCGGCACGGCTCGGCCCTGATTCAGGTATTTTTTTATTTTTATACTAAAACATGGTATTTTTGATTATATTAATTATATTTTGCATTTTTACCAATTTTTGGATGAACAGCTGGAACTTCTGGTACTTAAACTCGTGTTACTGCCGGTTATAGCAGTGATAGTTTTTAAATAAAAATAAAATAGCGAATTTAATAATGTTTAGTTTAAGAAGAAAATGCTATTTTTTCTTAAAAAAACAAGTTTTCTATACTAATAAATCCAAAATATTAAAAATTGCTTTCGAATATCACCTAGGGTATATTTTACAACAAACGGATGACAAAAATGGATTTCTTACCTTCAAAAATAGTAAAAATTAGTAACAATTTTTTGATAGCGTCCTATTCTGAGGGTCTTTGGTAAAAATTAACATCACAAATGGATTCCTCGATCAAATTGACAAAATTATTTTGAATAATTAACATAGTTTTACTTATGTTTTTCCTATAGGGTGTCAAAAAATTTACCATCTTTAAATGCGTACAAAAAAAAACTGAGACGTGATATAAAAAAACCCTGATAGGGTTTTCTTGTGGAAAGTATTAACTTTCATTTTCTTTTGGTTTTATTCCATTCCCTTTTGCAAACCTTAATTTTGTATCACAGTGTTATTAGACTGCTTTTTCTCTATGACAATTGGTCAAATAATAATTATTAGTTATTTTTGACTTATTCATTTTAAGAGAGTGCATTTCCTACAAGCCTCTTCCATACTTAAAATATTCATATTTTTACTAATTTTTAGGTTGAACGTTAAAATTTATTTTTTTCAGGCAGGCTTCTATGAAACGCCGCTGTATTTTTTAATTAGGAATTTATAATATCACTTTTAAATTTCGGATACATGAAATTAATTTCAGATAATTAAAATTCCCTAACGCAAAAATATTTTTAATCAGGAATTTTTGCTGTAATTACTAGTCATATTTTAATTGTGTCAACTATTTTAAACAATATTTATAATTCAACTAATTTTAAACTCAACAATATTGTGGAATTAAAAATATAAGTGATATCAGATATCAGTTTAAATTAAAAAATCACTTAATTTTTTTGTCACTTTGATATAAAAAATTCACGTAAATTAAAAATATTGCTTTGTATTAAAAATTCACTTGAGTTTTAGTATCCCTTTGATATTTTTAATTCCAGAATAATTTTTAAGTTTAAAATTAGTTGAATTATAAATGCACTTTACCAAGCTAAAAGCATTACTTTATCCTTTAGGAACTAGGTAGGTACTTAAGACCATAATTACGTGAAAATTCCAATCTATCGAACCGGAAAATTAAAGCTTTTGTTTGAGCGCTATACCTTTGATATATTTTAGCATAAATAAAAAGATTTAAAATTTAAATAATGATCTTACCAGAGCGTCCAGGATTACTAGGACGTCTAACATAAATTGTTGAATCATTGCATGATGCGTCCGATTGGATGTGAGGAAGTTTTATAATTCCATTGCGTGGGCAAGTTTTTTCTACCTGAGGGTTTTTTACACAGCAACAACTGTAAAAAATAATATCTTAAAAAACTAAAAAATAATGAACTATGTAAATGTTTAATTTAATCATTAAAATGTTTAATTTAATCATTAAAATGCTGCTGTACCGTGAATTCATAAAAAGAGTTATCGTTTTTTATTAAATTGCATTAGCCCTGAATTCGAAATTCTGTGTTAACCATGAATGTTAGAAAGTCCTGCTGAGCATGCGCATTTCCCAATTAGAAAAGGGTTGCCACCCACTGAGAGAAGGTTTCATTTCAGTGAAAGGCATAACGTTTGTTTCAAACGTATGACATATTTAAATATGGCGGAATGCACCAAGGTTTAATGTTAAGAAACCATCACTTTGGAGCTTTCGGAAAACTGCTTTTGAACGAAACGCATATAGATTTGTGTCAAATTTGTTGAGTTTGAATTCTTTATTAAATACTTTTCTGATAATTTGGTAATTGTTTGCTACCAGTATAGTCAATTTTGTATGAATCGATGTAAGTTTGCCTCAAACTTACTAATTTTGAATTCCTTGGAAAGTAACTTTAGGAAAAATTGGTATCTGCTTGTTATCAATAAAGTTCATTTTCATTAAACGTACGTGCATTTCTGAAGACATTACGGTTTCTTTCGATGAAACGGCATAATGCTTAAGAATATTGTATACATCGTCGGCCTTATCACGAAGTGGCCTAACCCACAAAATTGAAAAACAAAATGAGATTTTTCGCAGATTAACTTACGATGGTCTATTCTCACGAAATGGCCTATGTATTTTTATAGTACAGACTTTGTACTAAAGGCCACCTCTAGGAGTAATAGAATAGACCATCGTAAGTTAACTCGCAAAATGTCACTGTTTTCAATTTTGTGGGTTAGGCGACTTTGTGATAAGGCTGACTATTTATACCATATTCTTAATGCCGTTTTATCCAAATGTTTGCTTGGAAGCAAAATTATTTTGTAAGAACCGTAAGTATACAGTGGAGGCAAATTTAAAACTATAAGACACTGTACAGACACTGCACAAGAAGACGCGTTTCAAGAGGCAACCCCCCACTCTAAAAATTGCGCTTTCCAAACTAAGCACAATTGCCCATTAACTTTGATATATTTGCCACAAACTTATTATATATGTTGCAAATGCTGAGCTTTTCGCAAAAATGGTAGCAGATTTATTATAAGTTTCATCTATTTCAGTTAACCCATTAATAAATTTTAGTGGAAAATATAGTACGTTTTATGGTAACCCCTCTAAATTTAATTCAAACGTAAAAAACATAATCCTTATGACTATCAATAAAAAGTTTGCATAGAACTTAATAATATTTCAAGCAAACACAGCAGCCTAAACGAATCAACCATTTCTGGCAAAGCAGTTCACCCATTCTTAGCAAAAGCACTAATTTTGAATTAAATTTTAGTTATTTGATTCAAAGCAATCAGGCTCAAACAATTGCAAAGTTTGTTAAAAATATTATTTTCCTTTAGTGCCGATAATGCTTTACTGTTTTATGCAAGCTTTATAAATGCATGAAAACATGCTTTTTATTTTATTGCAGCTCTACTTTGTGACATAATAAAGCTTTATGATTAGGTTTTTTGAGCGACTTTAAAGTAAAGTATTAAAGCCTCTTTGCAATTATAACCGTTTGATCTTAACATTGATTTATTACTGTTAACCAATAATGTTTTTTTAGGATAACTTGCACCTAAGAAACACCTATAGTCCATTAAGCTTTATGAAGGTTTATCAGATGCCTATTGGTTTTAACCCTAGATCACTCGCGCACCTAAGCCAACGTTATCACTCGCGCCCCGGTCTTTTTGACCGATTCACGATTTTTGCAGTTTAAAAAAATATAAAGAGTTATGATATTTTTTTATTGTTTATTATAATAATATAATAACAATACAAAACTTTTAAAGCGTGAAAAAATATTATTTTTTAATAAAACAAAAAGAAAAAGAAAAAAGTTTATTATTTAAAATTAAAATATTCTTTAAAAGTTTGAAACGGGGTGCGACGTATTGAAGGTATTTAGGAATTGTCACGGAGCCATAAAATCCAGACATGCGCGTTTCGAATACTATGTAGAAAAATCCAAGAGGTCGGTCAAAAAGACCAGGACGCTAGTGATATAGGGTTAATGGTACTCGGAAAGTTGGTATTACTTTTCCACTATGTAAAAGTGTAAAACATTTTGTTGCTATTATTTCTTTCTTAAAAGGTTTTTGTCTTGATAATCGCGAAGAAAATAATTCTTGTCAACAAGACGCCGCCATACACGAGGAGTTTTTTAGAGCAGTGGTTAAAAGTTAAAAAAGTGGAAACTTTTATAGAAAAACAAAGTTGGCTCCTATAAGAGCTGTTAAAAGTTGTTCTTCTGTGTTGTTGGCAAAACATCCGGTTAAAAGTTAAAAAAGTGGAAATTTTTATAGAAAAACAAAGTTGGCTCCTATAAGAGCTGTTAAAAGTTGTTCTTCTGTGTTGTTGGCAAAACATCCGGTTGATAATACTCATTGTATTCCTACAACGTCCTTTTCCAACCAAGAGCTAAATCCGCATCATTCTATCACAGCAATTAAGACAATTTTTAGGTGTTATTATCTGACAAAGCATTATAGCATTAATGGCGATACTTTTGATGAAAATACTGCAAAGTTGTTTTAAAATGCTCGCACAACATTCCAATTGGTTTTATGATTGCTTTGAAAAATGCAGTCATAGGGCTTATTAGTTTTAACAAATAGTTATAAACTTTTTAGCAGTTGTTTGCAAGAGTACATTGTTTTATAACTGAAACCGCCATTTAAATCAGAAAATATTGCTCTGCCATGATGAAATAATTTTAATATAAAATACGAATACATAATATTTTTCAGAAAATTTCAAAAAATTTGGTTTTTACGAGCATGTTAATGCTAGAGATTATTTTTTCGATAAATTATGGCTTAAAAATCGGAATGTAGATTGGATAAGTAATTTAGCCAAAGCCTTTAAAATTGAATAAATTTAGCGCATTTCAGTGGGCATCATACGTTTTGTGTCTCGGCAATCAGCTTTTATCAGTAAAGTGGTATTTGTTTATGATTTTTGCATTCAAAAGTTATTGAATGACAAAAGATAATAATTTTCTGATTAAGTTTTTAAAATCAATAATCAAACAAGTATTTGATTAAAGCAATATGCAAAGTACAGAAATAAAGTAAAAAGGTATATCAATAAGTACAAATTGTCAGCTAAAATGTGTTTACAACAAAAGTTTACTACCTCCTTAAAACCTATTGCAGGTTTTATGACAGCTGTAAGGTAGGTTTTATGGCTGCTGTAAGATGTCCCTTAGGAGTAATACAATAAAGCAAAGTTACTTTGTGGCTGACACACACAGCTATAGGATTCTTCTTTTTAGCCCTATGATGGTTTTATCGAAGCTGTATAGCTGCTGTCAAAGCAAATATGTTTTAACCAAGCAATGCAAATTACCCTTAAGAGTAGAAAAACCTATTTTGCTACTTGAGTCACTTTAAGCTTCACGTGTGCGTTCACTATGAATTCAAGGGGTGGTCGCATCTTTTAGCAGCAGTGTATTCACTCGTAAAGCATCATGCCTTTACGGTAAATATACGAATGCTATCTAAGTGCCTCCTTAATTTTAATAAGCATCATGCACACTAATAATTGGAGCATTTAACGGCAAGCGCGCAAAAAAATTATCAATTTTGGTGAATTTTGGTATGTTATACTTCCAAGGTATCAATAATGGTTTGCGTTTAAAGACTATCAATGTTTAATTTACGGTAACCTACTCAAAATGTTAATCTTTATGGACCCTTGTTTAATAACCGATATAATTAATTTGGTATCTGTCAAAATATTTAACTTTAATTATATAAGTTAGGCGAGTTCAAGTTTTAACTTAATTAAATTACTGTTGTTATATATCCCTGAAGCTTTATCTCACCTGAGACCCAAGCTGTTTAGAAAAATATACTTTGGAAACTGCTATATTGTTTTAAATGATGCCATAAACGTTCAAAATACAGCTAATAACAGTCTTGTTATGGACCATTTTGTTTTGGAAAATAGAAAATGTTTTGTCTTAGTTTTACCTTTTATGTTTTTTATTCAGCAAATCGTCATATTTAAAAGTAATAACATAAAAAACATCTATTAGCTCCTTAACCATATCTAAATAATAAGATATAATACGAGTATGTACGTAAAGCAGCTCCCTTTAAATATGGTTAACGTAATTGAGGCTACGCCCATGCTGCCGTTCTACATTTGAATTCAATCAATTGAATTAAACAAAATTGGTTTATACTTGGCCTGTCTAATGTATACGAATATTATTTTATTATATTTAACAATAAATCAATGGTTTTATAATAAAAATAATCCAAATTTAAATTAGTTTTTACGCAGATACGTATTTAAGACCGGCATTAAAAACGTCGAGTTTTCTTGGAAAGAAAGTGTGAATCCATACCTCATTAGAAAGGTATTTCGATTCTCTATTTGATGTTATTTAAATTTTTTAAATTCGTTTTACTGTTGTTAGCCATTCAGTTGGCTTCTGGGACTTCTTAGGAAGTAAGGGTGGAACTAAAAGAGCACTTTTTTTTGTATTAGGCATTTTAATTTTTCAACCTAATAAATGTTCTTGCCCCCTTAGGCAGCAGCTACCTACTGTTCGGTAAATTCGGCCCTGGCGGCACATCACCATTTATTTTTTGACACTTTTTTGCTTTGTTAAAAAACGTACCAGTGTAGTTTTAAGGAGGTCTATAAAAAAAATATATTTTTACCTTCTTAGTAAATGACATTTTATAGGTTAATTTTGTTATTTTTGTATCCAAGTATACGATACGTTATAGGAACAGACCTGTAATATTTTACGGGCTTGTATAAAAGACCTGTAAAGTTTTACAGGCTTGTAGAAAAGGAATTTATGAAATGAAATGTCACATTTGACATATTAATTAAAATTTTAAATTTAAAAATCGTTATCTAAAGGTGAAAATAAAAGTTTGTACGTGTCACGTTTTGCAATTATTCTTTACTAGGCTCACTGTATTATGGGGTTCGCTCCTGCGTCGCTCACCCCACAAACTTCCAGCTCGCCCGTAAAGATTCATTTACAAAGCTTGACACGTAAATAACTATTACCCTTTATTTCGTTGGAAAATGGTTTGCGCTCGCCCGTTGGAAGAAAAAACAGAAGCAGTTTTTATTATGCTTAAGTTGGACATAATTCGCATCAAGAAGCGAGGGTATTTATTGAAAGGTACCCGGACAACCCTATTTGCAGAAAATATCTACTGGAGTTGGTGACAAAATTTTATATATAATAACTGGAAGTGTAAGTAGGCAGAAAGAATCGGTTAAAAAATCAATCTCAGAAGACAAACAAATATAAATAGTCAATAATCCACAACAATCGACGGCAGTTGCAGGGGATTGATTAATAGAAAAATTAGCTGTTAGAAAATATTTAAAACATAAAAAAATTTATCCTTATAAATTAAAAATATAACATCAACTTACTGAAGATGACCCGGATCGCAGAGTACAATTTTGTAGTTGAGTAAGACATAATACAAAATCCCCTGTAATTGCAATCAATTTGTTTAGTGATGAAAGCACTTTTTTTCGTAAATGGAAAAGGTCTCCATCTATACTTTTTTTTCTCTCTTTCGACAGAATTGGACTTACGTCTATGAGCTTCTCGAAGCCATCCACCCACGGACATGTGGAATTTCAAATCTTAAAACATCCACTAAATCGATTGCACAAATCACAAAATACCTCTCTAAAAGGTCAAAGCTTGTGATTGTCGAGAAATACCAGTATATTTATATACCGGGAACCCCATTTTATCCCTCCTGGGTCAGTCAACTATTTTTAGACTTTTTCATGGAGCAGCAAGCACACCAAGGATAAAATCGAACTCCAAAATGGCATTGTAAATCGGCAAAATGTACGATACTGGTCATATGTTAATCCACATTTTTTTCCTGAAGGTCATACCCAGTACAAACAAAAGGGCAATGTATGGGCAGGACAACTTGGAAACCATATTTTGGATGGAAATTAACCAGGCATCTTGTACTTAAACATGCTTCAAACACAAATTCATCCAATGATTCAAGTTTAAGCTAATCCTGAATTAGACATGGAAGTAATATTCTAACAAGATGAAGCCAGCACATTATTTTAGGTTATGTTTATGTTATAACATAAACATAACCTAAAATAATGTGCTGTCTATAGACAGTGGCTTGATGAGACTTATCTAAAAACGTAGGTAGAATGGTAGGCGTCGTTTTACCGAATGGCTCGGCCTCTTGTTTTATTGCTACAAGATTTTTTTGTGGGTTAAAGGTTATTTATCACAGTATTGGTGGATAGCGTCACAGTCTCGAAAATATTAATAATTATCACGTTAAAAGTGTGTTTTCTTGTTACTTTAAAACTGTAACACACAAAACGAAAAATCAGGTAATTGTTTTATTATCATACCTCACAGGTTGATTAGTGTAATATTATTTAGTAAAAGTAAGGTTATGGTGAAAATGATTTAAAATACTAATATCTAAGTATAAGACTAATTTGATATTTGATAACGTTTCGGAACTGTGACGCAATCCACTGTCTTAAAATGAATTAGTCAAAAATAACAAATAGTCATATTTGACTAATTGTCACAGCAAAAAATCAGTCACTAATAATTAGTCAAATTCTACTGAAAAATAGTCAAATTAGTAAAAGTTTTGACCCAGCCGGAGATTGTAATAAGGTCTGTCACTTGTCAAGCTTGTCAAGCTGTTTACATAACCAATGTGGCTATCAGTCTCTCTTATAAAAATCAATTTTATTTGTCAATAAATATTGTTCATAATATTTTAAAGTTGAATATAATATTTGTGTTGCTGTTTTGAGCTAAATTTTTTGCACCTTTGTTTGTTTTTATGGGCCTTTAACCTATATGCATTTAATTCAAATAATACTTTGTTGTTGGCCGCAAACGATTAAAGATTAGTTACTTTTAACACTCAGAAATAGTCAAAAATGATAACTAATCTTAAATTAGTCAAACTTCAAATATTTAAGGTAGTTGTCGTGCTGTAAGCATACCATCAGAAAATTTTAAATTTTTGTATACTTATTAAGGACATGACAATACATATATGCTTAAAATTTGAAGTCGATTGACCGTCTATAACCCGAAATAAATTCAAAAAATGGATAATTGGATAAATAACATGGATTGTATATATACAATCCTATAGCCTTTAGCCTATAGGCTTTCTGTAGTCCTGTACCAGTTTCTTAGTTAAACAACTTGGCAAGGCTGTACGCGAGTATAGATACTATTTCCGCAGTAAATTCAAACGTATTGGTGAATGATTCAGTCTCCAATATATCTATTGGTTGAGCATAAGCGACGTTGCCGGATTAAAACTTATGAAAATATTTGAAAGTATTACGTAAAGGTATACCTTACGTAAAGGTATACCATAATTTGTTCGCAAGACTGTACCCTGGAAACGTTATAAGGTTTCCAGGGTACAGTCTTGCGAACAAATTATGAATCACTTAACTACAAGCTCGTATACTTTTACGGTGCGTATAATCTAAAAAAATTTGACAATATTGTACCACGACAACTACCTTAAGTAGTAAAAAATAACTATTAAAAAGTGTAAACGACTATTTTATTGGTAAAAAATGCTGGTACTAATTCAAATAGTAGAATTTTGACTATTTCATTTTAAGAGAGCACCAATACTGTGATAAATAACCTTTAATCACAAAGTGGCAAAACGATTGACATTTTTTTTTTCTTCGTATTTTCAATAGTTAGAGGCACGATGGTCATTCAGCCAGTTCACTTGAGTATAGATTTTGAAGACTTAACTTAAAATTTACGCGTTTCTTCTAGTTTTTTTGTCGCACGTTATAATTTGGAATGTTTTCTTTTAAAATTCATCAGATTTAATGCCAGAAGAACATGTTTATTTTGAAACACCATCTTTAAAAGGTGTGACGATGATGTTGTCAGACCTATCGAAACCAAAAAAACAAATACTACGATTTTCGTCAATAATTAAGTATGTTTCTACCGATTTTTAGAAATAATAACGATTTTACCCGTTTTGCCAATTTATCCATCGTACACGAAGCTGCTTAAGTTATGTTAAAGGATAATTCATTCTATTTATGTTTGTTTGTTTCTTACTTATATTGTAGTACCTTAAGACTAATAATTAAGATTAATATAAAGTGTTTAATTTTTTTACTTGTAACACCCGAATGTTTCCCTAAAAAAATTCGCTGAATTTTAAATAAATGCAACAATGGTCAGAATCGTGAAACATTCGAAACGCACACTTTTTTACTTTATCGTATACGTTAAACTGTACTAATTTTACAATCTATATAAAACAACTAAAAAGGTAGAGAATTGCTAAACTATTATTTCAAAATACATAAAAATTTATACTTTGGTTGAACAAATGTAACACCCGAAACGATGGAATGACCCTATACTTAATATCTTTGATCCTTGGTCCGATGCACTGTATATAAGCTTTACTTTTATAAATTAAAAAATACGCTAATAAAGATATTTACTAAGTATTATGTAAAATAATATTATATCATACCTATAGGTATGATTTTCTAACTCAATCTTATTTTCACGAAAATTTTGATAAATGTAATGGAGATTGCTAATAAAATATATTGGAGTAGGCTGAGTTTGATATTATAACCTTGAATTGTACTTTCATATATTTTCTTAATGATTATAGATGGATTTATAAAATCTGTTCTTATCAAAAAAATGAACGCAATGGTTTTAAATGCAGTGGTACTCAATTTATACAGCTTTTAAATATAGCCCTGCGTACATAAACTGTAGTTAACTACCGTCAAACGTCAGCCTTTTTCAGTTTTATGAAAAGTTGTTTAAATTGTGTATTAAAATTCGAGATCGGATTATATGCAAAGTAAAAATATACATATACATGAAAAAGGCTTAAAATATAGGGCAAGTATAAAAATATGTAATATTATGCGATATTGTACTCGTAATTATAAAGGACGTAAAACGTATGAACTGTACATTTCAGATTTAGAATCACCGTTTATAATTTTAAGTTACAAATATTATTCAAGAAAGATGAAGAATTATCAATAAATTTCAGTGTCATAAACAACATACCGTGAGGTCTGGAACAGCGACAAAAAGGCTTGACGGAACTTTCGGTTCATAAAGCAGTAAGTAATGGGGTTGCAGCAGCTGCTGATGTAAGCCAGAAGTTGAACGAGAGAGACGCCGGTCGAGCCGATGTATTTGTAGACGGTTTCCGGATCGAATAGATACCAAGTGTTGATAAAATGCAAGGGGGCCCAGCAAATAAAAAATTCCGTCACCATTACGAACAACATTGTTATCACCTGAAACAAAATAAAAAATGTTTAAAGAATTGCCCTTTGTCGTTAGTTACTTTGTTACTTAGTTACTGTGTTATACAGTGTGTCGCATTTAAGATGAAGACACCCCCATATTTTCGCTATTTCCAGGAATAGAGATTTAAATTTTTTCACATTCATAGATGTTGGTGGGTCACATTTTTTAAGATACTCAACTGAAATCTGAACTTTAAACTTGGCCTACTACGAATTCACAAACGGGGCCAGTTGTCGATATTTTGCTTCGCGTTAGAAATATCGAAAAAAATTATTAGAAAAAGTTGTTTAGAATATTATTCTAACCTCGTATACCGATTTTTATAGCAAAATTCGCATTTCTAATTTATTTATTTTTATTAGTTTTATTATTGTTTTATACCATTTTCTTAATTTAATAAATTATAATTGATTTGTAATTTGAAAAAATTGTTTTAATTAATAATTATTTATTTAACGGTCATAAACACTAGTAAGTATCAAATTATTACTTTCCATGGCTCCCTTATTATCAAACTAAAAAATGAATTTTGTGTGGACCAAAATAAAAAAAAATGCGAATTTTGTTATAAAAATTGGTATATTGGGTTAGAATAATATTCTGAACAACTTTTTCCAATAACTTTTTTCGATATCTCTAACGCGAAGCAAAATATCGAGAACTGGCCCTGTTTGTGAATTTGTAGTAGGCCAAGTCGACACACTGTATATAACACAGTAACTAAGTAACAAAGTAACAATATAGTTATATTTAGTTAATGTTGTTTAGAGATTCAAAGTCACTCGTTATTTTGAATTTCCGCAATTAAAATCTATTTTAATTAAAATCTAGTAGGGATGTTAATTAAACTTTATAATAACATAAAATCTACACTAAATGTTAAAATAATACCATCGTTATTATCGTTAAATAAATGGACCTTTTTCTAATGGGCGTACATTATAAAGGTTTTAAAATTAAATATTAAATTGTTAAATTATATACAGTGTCGGCAATTCCTTAATTTCCTATATGCAACGAGTAGGAACTATAAGAATTTTCGACACTATTATGTGGTAAATGGATATTGGATAAAATTTTTACTTATCAATAAATTACGCTTGCCTACTTATACATTGACAAGCTGTGAGTTTATGGCGTTTAAGTCACGGGCTAAAGTTAGTTGACAGTTGTCAAATGTTATACAATCGTCAAAATAAAGTTACCTTCTCGTGAAATAATACTTAAATGTGTAAATTATATTATTATGGGTTAATACAAAAATATACCATAATGGTATTACCATTAACTTATTAGTTTCTTAACGCCAATAATTGTAAAGCTTATATCCACGTTTGTATGGAACTTTTTATATCGCCAGCAGCAAACTAATTTCAGGTCGAGTACCCTTATACCATTGACAAAAACTTCTTCACTCAACGCTTATACAGTGTGACCCATTTGTTTGCGACTCACCCCTGTAAAATATTTATTTATTGTGCGATTTTAACCGGATTTGTTTTAAGGCTTACTATGTCAGGAGTAAATTTTTAAGAATTCAAATTAGCTATTTTTTTAAACAAAATCAATGAACGGCACTGGAGTCACCACCCCTTAAAACAACCCTTTACTAAATTTTATTGAAAAATTTTAAGTAGAAATTGATACGGCCCTTGAAGTCTATAAAAAATTGGTTTATTTAAAGTCGCTACCTTAATTAGGTCAAGAAATATGATTATATAAAAAAACACAGTATACTGTAAAGGAGTCAAATTTCGGAATTTACCGTTTTGCAGGCTTTCTTTTAAATAATCATATATCTTGTCCATAGCTTTATTATAAGATAATATTTTTGGACTGGTTTAGGTTAATTGTAAAGATATTTCAAATACCCTGTAATAACACTTCACTTTTAATAAAATATTACCTATCACAAAATTCACTTTTATAAATTCTTCCATTTTAATAAAATTATCGATATAATTAGTTAAATTGTTTGTTATTATAAAATAAATCTATGTTTGTTTACAGATTACGATCACGCACCTATTATATGATTGAGCTTAAAAAAATGTGTCTTGATAATTTGTCTGGAAAAGCTTTATTTTAAGACAAGGTTAGACCAAACTTTTCTTATGATAAAGTCATCAAACTTTTTTTCTATGAGTAATTGTTTTAGAGATAAATAGTTCTTAAGTACATTTATACCTAAGTTCTACAAATTGAATTATTACTTAAAAAACCAATTATTTTTTAACTTGCAGATATATTTATTTTTTTAAATTTATATTTTGCGATTATTATAAATGTTAATAAAGGGATTATTTTCGTCGAGGTAAAAAGTATAGTATTATTATTATTCACTATTAAATTATTTTACCTCGATAAATGTTGTTTTAAAATCTTTTTCCAATCTAACTAAGCGACGCATAGGCATTTTGAATCAATAGGTTTTATCGCAAAAAAGGGAAAGTCAATTGTTAAAACCATTACATTCTCTTGACACTGGCTGGATCAAAGCGTGAGTAGACAGCCAAAGGGTATTTGATGGAGTCAATAAAACCAATGTATTTTGATCTTTTGTCTTTTCACGAAATATTTTTACAAAAAAAAATGTAATTTATTTTACCTTTTGAATTCAAATTTTGATAGTTTTTAATTTTTCAAAACTAGGTTGCTTAAAAAAGCAATAAATTTTGTTTTTATATTTCTTTTTGTTATATGTAATATCTATTTAAATAAAAAAATTATATAAATGGATATTGGTCCTTAAATTCGCAGCGGAAACCACTTGATGGCAAAAAAAATTGACAAAATTCATTTAAATAAAAACTTAAAATTTTAATACCATATTTTTGTGGTATTTAATCTTGATCTTGCATTTTAATTTAATTGGCCCAGTGGGGGCTATTTTATAAATGATTCAAATGTTAAAGTAAGTATACTTATATAAATTAAATTAAAATGTGTGGAGCATCAAGATTAATACACTCAAAGAATTATGATAAGTTAATTTAACTATATAACAATATTGCCAATTTTGTAACATTAAACAATAAAAATTGTATTTTTAAACATATTGTAATTGTAAATACAATACATTAAAATTTGTTAGCGAACAAAATAAGCTTTTACCTAAAATTGGGTGTTCTTGACAATTATTTTTGTTTATCTCACCTCTAATTTGTTAAATCAAACAAAATAATTGTAAACTTACAATTTAAATACTATTATATTGTATTTTTAATTATAATGTGTTTACTTCACTATCCCACAAATACACGAACCTATTAAAAGAGTAAAAACAACCATAAATGGTGTTTAGGTAAACACATTAAAGTCCGTGTACCTTATTTAAGGGATTGGATTTACCAGTCCGTCATAGAAAATCGTATGTTTTCGGTACGCGGCCTACCCCCTTCTTCCTCGTGTTTGTCTCATTGTAGTTCTAGATTTGGGCGGTAATTAACGTGTGTGTTGCTCGGAAATTGTAAGAAAATCAAGGCCTTGGTGTTTAGGACCTAAGGTAATATTCTGGTGAAGTGAGGTGCATATACTTAAGTGTAAAAATTTGGTAGAAATGGATCCTCACGAACCCTTCGAAGATTCACTAGATTTTACAAATATATTGGTTGATTCAATTTTAAGCTCGGCACAGACAGACACAGAATCGGATTCGCAGTTAAGAAGTTTGCTATCCAGCTGGGGGTTTGGGTACTTATTCGACCTACTAAAAGGTATGTAAACCATTTTAGTAGGACCAATGGTAATTATATTCATTATAAAAATTTAGTAATAAATTCTGTTACGAAAAGAGTGTTTTATTTTTCATCAATTTTAAATATCAGCGTACACAACCTAATTTGGTGCCCAACTAAAGAACATGTTTGCTTAGCAAAAAAAGTAGTAATATAACAAAAATAATTGTTGGTATACCTTTTAATTTGTTTGCAGCGCCAATTAATTTGTTGTAGAACTATAATGATGGGTAAACCAACTAAATTTAATGTTTGAAGTAACAATAAAAAAAGTACGGTTACAAATTGCACTTTACAATTCAATATTGGTTATTTTAACTATAGAACTGGGTAGACGCATTTTCATATGCTCTTTGTGGTTAATTTTACCTACTATTTTGTTTGAGTGTACCACAAAAATGTTGTTAAACGTTTTTTAATGAATTTTGGCCACTATTACAAACGGTTTCTGAATTTTAAGCGTTTAAACTTTCCAGTACTAAAAGAAAATATCAAATTTCGTAGAACAGGTCAACATCAGCAACGCAACTCTAAAACGCCTTTACCAATATTTATGAAATTTTCTATAAAATACTTTAACTTATATCTCAGTTTAAGTATTCGGTTTTTCGAGAAAATATTTTTAAAGCCTTGTTATTTAATAATGATTATTTCCCTCATTATAATATGAACCAATCAAATAAATTTTGTTTAAATAAGCGATTAAATCACTAGAATTATTTAACAGCGATTAAATTTTAGCCTCCATATTGGATGGCTTACGATTTTATGGTGTTATTTACAAGTTTTAAGAAACATTTTTTAAAAAACAATAAAAAATAAGTTATCTAGTTTACGAAATATCAATTATTACTTATTACATACCTTAAATTAATGGAATTTTCTTTAAAAAAATATTTATAAATTTTGACACATACGTCAGATTTTATGAATTGTCAAATAGTTTCCTTTAATTTGAGAAATAATCTAGACGTATATCACTCAACCTATAAATTTAATCTGTCAAACTAAGCTCAGTAAGTTTTTTATTTGATTTTTCTTTTTGGAAAATAGTTTCATGCAAAATAATTAAAAATAAAACCCCTCGACCGCTACGCGGTCTCGTGATTTTATTAAATTATTTTGCATTCAACATTTTCCAACAAAAACCAAACAAAAAACTACTGAGCCCAGTTTAACCGATTAAATTCATAGTTCTCGTGATATAATATATGACTATTTCCCTCGTCCTAATTTCCACCAATCACAAA